ACATTTCAACCAGATCCCCTCCCATCCTTCTAAACTCTAGTGAATATAGGCCCAGTCAAATTGATCTCTCCTTATTTAACAATCCTGCCATCCCTGGTTAAAAACCAAAAGAACTGTGGATGCTGTAAATCAGAAACAAAAACAGAAGTTGCTGGAAAAGCTCAGCAGGTCTGGCAGCATCTGTGAAGTGAAATCAGAGTTAACGTTTTGGGTCTGGTGACCCTTCCTTGGAACTGCCAGTACCCCACCAGTCACTGTCTGCCATTTAAGACCCATACATTCCCACCCTTTCAATCTGTCAATCAATTTTCAATCCATGCCAGTGTATGACCCCCAATCCCATGTGCTTTTAATTTTGTCCACTGGCCTCTTAAGTGGGATTTCATCAAAAGCATTCTTAAAGTCCAAATACTTAGCATCCACTGGTTCCCCCTCAACCATTCTCATTGCACACTCAAAAATCTCCAGTAGATTAGTTGAACTTTCATATATCTATGTTGACTTTGTCTAATCCTGTTAATGCTTTCTAAGAGTTCTGTTGTCATATCTTTTATAATAAACTTTAGCAGATTCCCCATTACTGACATTAGGCTATGGGTCCCTTAGTACTTAATTTTTTCTCTCCCTCTCTTTTTTTAAATATTGGGGTTACATTTGCTACCATGTTGTTTTTGAACAATAGGTTGAAACTTGTTACTTTGATGGTGCACATCACAAGAAATTGTTCACAAGGCTATATGATTGAATGTAAGGACTCTGGAAAACGTTAAAAAGTAATTAAACCTAATAAAATAATCTCTTCTCAATCAGTGAGTTCCTGAATCCTAATGATCCAATTAAGTACCTTCTCATTGAATTCCTCAACCCCACCTTTCCCACTGCTCAGCGTATTCCTCAATCCTATCTTATCTAGGTGTCCCTCAATTCCATCTCTCCACCATGTCCCTTAGTCTCCAACCTTATTGAACTGTTCACCGACCCCTCAGGTAATACACCAGTGTCCTTACATGATAACCTACTGCAGAATTCCACTATTCCTGACTCTGAATCCTGACATCCGACTTAGCGTCGTAGAGTGATAGAGTCATACAGCATGGAAACAGGCCCTTCTGTGCAACTCGTCCATGCCGACCAGGCTTCCTAAACCGAACTAGTTCCATTTGGAGATAGTAGGAACTGCCGATGCTGGAATCTGAGATAACAAGATGTAGAGCTGGATGAAGGGTCCAGACCTGAAACGTCAGCTTTCCTGCTCCTCTGATGCTGCCTGGCCTGCTGTGTTCATCCAGCTCTACACCTTGTTATCTCTAGTTCCATTTGTCTGTGTTTGGTCCATATCCATCTAAACTTTTTTCTATCCCAGTGCCTGTTAAGTGTTGTAATTGTACCCGCCTCCACCACTTCCTCTGGCAGCTCTTTCCATATACACACCACACTCTGTGAAAAAGTTGCTCCTCAGGTCCCTTTTAAATATTTCCCCTCTCACCTTAAACCTATGCCCTCTAGTTTTAGACTCCCTTACCCTGAGGAAAAGACCTTGGCTATTCACCTTATCTATGCCCCTCATACTTTTTAAAACCTCTACAAGGTCACCATCAGCCTCCTGAGCTCCAGGGAAAAATATCCCAGCCTATTCAGCCTCTCTTTATAACTTAAATCTTCCCATCCCAGTAACATCCTTGTAAACCTATTTTACACACTTTCCAGTTTAATAACATCCTTCCTGGAACATGACAACCACATCTGTACGCAGTACTCCAAATGTGTCATATAGAGCTTTTAGAGCTGCACAGACTAATTTAAAAAGGATCAATTTTGTTCAGTTCTATTCATAACATTGAAAATTATGACCACCTCACTTGTATTTTCCCAAGAAATCATGTGCAACTTTTTGAAATGGTCCTTTCAGCTTATGTTCCTGATTATTGGAACCATCGTCATTATTTGTCTCTGACCCTTGTGGTAACAGTAATATTCTTCCTACGTGTGAGAGACCAGTATCTTAGTAACTTTGTATCACAGCAAACATTCTCTCAAACACTCCATGACTGACTGCTGAGTACAATATGCAATGGAGTCATGGGGTTTGGAACGGTGCTGACATAGGTGGAGTCACTGATAGCTGGTTATAGAATATCCTGGAAGGCCTCTCAGAAAAGCTGATACATTCAAAACAAAAAAAGCAATAACTTACATTGATAGAAAGCCTTTCATAATTTGGCACTGAGCCACCTCTGAGGCAAGCGGCCAAAAGCTTGGACTGTAGAGTTTTGAGATGCGGCTTAAGGGAGGAGACAGGGAGAGGAGTGGTTTTGAGAGGGACTCCCAGAGCTTAGGCCCCAGACAATTGAAGGCACAGAAGGCAATGGTGCGACAACGACTCAAACTGTGCTAGATGGCAGAAGTGAATCACAGAATCACTACAGTGTGGAAGCAGGCCATTTGGCCCATTGAGTCCACACTGACCCTCTGAAGAGCATCCCACCCATACCTACCAACCACCCGCTCAACCAATCCCTGTCATCCTGCATTTCCCATAGCTAACCAACCTAGCCTGCACATCCTTGGATACGACAGGGCAGTTTAGCATGGCCAATCCACCTAACCTGCACATCTTTGGACTGTGGGAGGAAACCGGAGCACCCGGAGGAAACCCACGCAGACACAGGAAGAATGTGCAAATTCCACACTGACAGTCGCCAGAGGGTGGAATCAAACCTGGGTCCCTGGCACTGTGAGGCAGCAGTGCTAACCATTGTGCCACCCATAAGAGGAAAGAATGGAAGAGTGCACAGGTCATAGAGAGTTGGAGGGTTGATAGAGGTGACAGAAGCTGGGAGGAAATGAGGCTTTGTACAGAAGGGTGAAATTTTAAACTCCACACCTGGGTGGCCTGGGAGCCAATGTTGATTGGGAAGCCCAGGAGGCATCGAGCAAATGGAATTTGGTGCCAGTTAGGATTTAGGTTTGGGCTCCCAAGAGCAAATCTTCATGTGAGAATGGAAAGAACAGAAAGACCACGGAACAGTACTAGGGGTGTGAAGAGGCTTTGAAGTGGAACAAGTGTAGTGGAACAACTCAGGCCAGATTGCTGTGGGGAACATCAAACTACTCATGTTTAGTGTCAGCTAGTGACCGGGCACACATTCACCTGGTTGGCAAGGTGAGGTAGGAGTTCAATGTGGTGTGCAGGGGCTGGAAGTTGTGTAATAGCAGGGCAGGAGGAGGAGAAAAGGTGGAAAGATGAAGATATTTGATGAAGGGAAGCAATGATCAGATACAAGTTATGAATGGATGGTTTCCAGTGCGTTAGTGTGTGGTTTTGGAGGACAGACTATAACCTCCCGAACTTCTGAAATGAAAATATCAAACTGAAGGAGAGGGACATTCTGTTTCTAAATATTCTTCTGGAACATTAAGAATTGCTACACAAATTCAGCACAAGACATCACCCTTCAGGGATTAAAACTGACAAACCTCCCTCTTTCTGACTGTACACCTTGATGAAGAACTGGTCTCTTTGACCACATATCGTCCAGTGAGCAGCCTTCCTCTCTGCAATCAAATGAGAACGAAAAAGAAAGAGAGAGAGCGAGAGAGAGGGCGGGCAGAGTACAGGTCACTAATTTCTTTGTAAGCTGCTGCAGATTTTTTTTTTCTCCCTCTCTTTCAAACTTGACCACACACTTTTCCTTTCCGTTAAATTATTAATTGCGTTTTAAGTGCCATGAGCGAAAGTGATTCGAAAGTGGGCTGTGAAGGTGGAAAAAAAAAATCCGAACAAAAAAAGGACACCGGAGGGAAAAATAAAGAGCGAGGAAGCTTTGCTAAAGTTGTAGAGCGGAGGCCAAATGGGGCTCCCTCGCTGTTTTCGGTTAACCCCGTTGATGTCTACGTTTCCCAGCACTGACCTCAAAATGGCCACTGGTGCCTCAGGAGCGTTATAGTTGCTTTTCTGGAACAGCTGAACCACATTCTCGACCAGTCTTACCAGCTTCTCCGTTCTCAGCCAGAGAGGGATGGGGGTGGGGGGGTGGGGGGGGGGGGGGGGGGTACGGGGGACGGTGTGCGGCGGAGGGAGGGGAGGAGAGGTGGGGGGTTGGGGGGAACTGGCAATGAAAAGCGAGAGAGAAAAAATTCCCTCACAACACGTTCACGATCCATTCACGATTCGCAACCAGAGGGATTGGCTGAAATTCCAGCAAGGTAACCTCTGTCTAATATTCCCTGACCCAAATTAAATTCATTACACACATGAAAATGCACTCAAATTGATACACATTCAAAACTTAAAAAGAAATGGCATTGATTTCTCTTTTGCATTTTTAAAGCATTTTGTATACAAAAAAAAGACAGGAGGTTTGCAGCTCATAATTCAGCAGACACAAAGGACATTCTACATTAGTTCAGAAAGCAGACAGATTCCCCCCTGGGAGGTGACCCACAAATGGCCAGGAATTCATACACAAAGCTGCCTGTTCATAACCGGTCTGCCATTTCTCTCGGAAGGCAAGGAGCTGGGCCAAGATGGAGAGCAAAGATTCTGCCAAGGAAACCTAACCGGATCCTGTAGCCGTAGTGGGCGGAGAGAAAGAGAGAGTGAGACAGAGAGAGAGAGAAAGGGGGATAAAATGTGATTTAGATGATGAGGCAAGGATGGGATCGTCGGGGTGGGTGTTTGACAAAACAGAAAGAAAGTGGGAACAGTGTGAATGGGGAACTGGTAAAATCAGGAGAAACAAGAACCCTTGTAAATTATGCAGAAACTCATGCTTTACTCACTCATCGACTTGCATTTCGAATAAGCACACGAGACTTTAGCTGAATAAAATATTCTGCTGAGATTGAAGATTTATCCGAGATGCACCAAAAGGGAAACACAGTATAGCCAAAAGTTTAAAATCTGCTGCATTCTAATTCTCGATTTAAAAATAAAGAATGCACAGTTCAAATCATCATTGGAGAAGAAAATAAAGATTTTGTTTTGTTGTCTTACTCACAAGCGTTCCAGTTACTGCTGTATGGAAGTCAGAGGAAGTGCTGAAAGTTTTTTTTTGTTTTGTCCTCCTGGATTGAGGCTCCTTTCCATGAATTCCTATCACTGTACGGTTCTTACACTGTGAATAAAAAACAATCTTCTCAGCCTCAGGCATCCAACCCTAAAAGAATAAACACTTCGAGGAAATTGTCGACACACAAAGGTATTTTTTTTTGTTGATGTCTATGTATAAAGAAGAGGATGGCCCATCCAGTTCAGTTCTGAATGTTTAGCAACACCAGAAATCAGAGTGTATGTGTGTGTTTATGTGTGTGTGTATGTGTGTGTGTGCGCGCAATGGTCTCAATTAAAGGAGCTATCGGTACTAGGCTTGGAAGACGAAAGGAGGTGGGAAGAGAGGGAGGGAGGAGGAGGAGGGGAATGGGGGTGGAGATGGGGGAAAGAGAATGGAACTCGAACCAGGAAAACTAATAGTCTACGCATAATCAAAACTCATGGAACTTCCTGCTTTTCTCCCGCCTAAGCCAGGCTGCTTTTTTTTGCACAGTACATTGGAATGTTTTCGCCTGGCTCAAGAGGCCCAGGGAGAGATCTACCCAGACAAGGCTTTCTGAATCAATTAACCTGCAGTCATTATTTGTGACATAAGGTCACCCTTAAGTCAGAGAGAGAGAGAGAGAGAGAGAGTGTGTTTGTGTGTGTAGGGAGGGAAGGAGTGGAACATTTCAAAGTTATGCAACTTTAACTCGCTTTCCCTTTTGTTCGAAAAAGAAACACCGTTTATATGTTTGTTTTCATTTTTCGACGGGATGACACAGTCCAGAAAGAGTCTGCAGACTCTTTTGCCTCAGTCATTGCTTCACAACGAGGCCTCCTGTCTGAGGAATTTGGTAAACGGTCCTCCTTTCCACAGCCAACCGCAAGAGGGTTGTGCAGAGGGTGCAATTGTTAAGAGGGGGTTGGCGGTGGGGGTGGGAAGAGGGAGAGGGGTGGGTTTTTGGGGTCAAAGGCCATTTCTTGATGTTGCAGCATTCCTCTACCAATTCACATTTTTGCTGCATTCCCTGATCATCATCGCCTTTCTCTTTTTAAAAAAAAATTAGCCGCGGTTCTCATAGGATTTGATTAACCCTCTCATTGCTGTGGCTAGAGACGAGTTTGTGCTAACTAAGAACATAACATCTATTGTGAACTGGTCAACTGGTTAAAAAAAAGTAACACTTTGGAATCGGTAAATTTTCCATCAACTTTCACCCAACACACATTAACCCTTCCATAGCCTCAGTCTATAGGATGGTCAAATCCCCACTGTGAAAAATCAAAGGCAGGAGATGTCTTCAGACCTTGAAATGTTGTAGTGAGAAAATCATGAGCCATAGCAACTGGCTAGGAAGGGTGGTGAGGCGCTTTGGAGCATTTCCAACAAGATGATTGACCTATGATTCCCTCCTCCTTGCCCACTGCATCAGATAACTGTCATTTTACCTCTGAGGTGGTGCTCCAGCCTACTGGATAGAAGTCAAGGCCTCAAACCTCATTCTAAGACTGAACATTAAATATAATTGAAGAGTGTATTTCCAAAGTGGCTACAGTAGAGTAGTGACAATCGCACTGTGTTTTTTGACCACTTGAGATTACTACACCCACATGTATCAGTCAAGGGAGGCTGTTCGGAAGAAATAAGATAAGATCCCTGTATAACAGCTCTCAGTTTTATTTATGAAAATTTTTGACTGGACACGGATCTTTTTCTGTTTCAAGAATCTCACAACTATTACAACCATAAGACCGTAAGAAACAGGAACAGGAGTAGGCCATTCGGCCCCTTGAGCCTGCTCTGCCATTCACTAGGATCATGGCTGATCCAACATTCCTCACATCCACTTTCCTGCCCTTTCCCCCAACCCTTGATTCCACTGTTGATCATAACTTCATCATGTCCCAAAGTACATTACCGCCAATGAAGTACTTGTTGAAGGATAGTTACTGTTGAAATGTTGGAAACATAGCAGCTGATTTGTGCACACCATGCTGCAACAAAAAGCAACAATAATCTACTTTTATCATGTTGATTGAGGAATAAATGTTGGTCCAGAAATTTGGCAGCTTCCTTTGTCATCTTCAAATAGAACAAGAGATTCTTTATGTCCACCTTAGAAAGTACATCGGGTCTCAGTTCAACATCTCCTGGGTCTAACCTGAACCCTGTACAACAGCATCCCCAACAGTGCAGCACTCCCCTGGTGCAGCATTGAAATGTCAAAGTCTCTGGTGTGGCTTATACCTATAGACTTCTGATTCAGGGGAGACAGCGGTACTGAGCTACAGCTGAGTTGAGGGCATCACCAGCTGGGCCAGCAATTATTGCCCATCCCTAATTGTCCAGACCAAGTAAGGATAGCAGATTTCCTTCCCTAAATAACATTAGTGAACCAGATGGACAAGCAATGGTGGATTCATGGTCATCACTGCACTCTTAATTTCAGATTTTCTTTTAACTGAATTCAAATTCCACTATCTGCTGCAGCGGGTTTAAAACCCAGGTCCCCAGAACATTACCTGGGTCTCTGGATTCACAGTCCAATGGTAATACCATTCGGCCATCGCCTTCCCTTGAACCAATATAAGTCTAGAAGGGTTGAGTAGAGAAGATATGGAGTCTCAATTTTCTATGGTGGGAGAAAGTAAGGACAGGAGGACATTCTCTTAAAACTAGAGCTAGGCTGTTCAGGAGCAAAATGAGACAGAGCTTCTTCATACAAAACTGAATGGTTTGCTGCTGTTTGCAATCTCCTGAAGCTCCCAGGTTAGCTAGTGATTAATTCCATTACTGGTTGTGGGATCTTTTTTTGCACAGGGTGGCCAGTGGGATGTCCAATCGATGTGAAATGCCTCATTCAAGGGTGTGCAAAAGTTTATTTTCTTGAGATCTTCCTCAGTATGGTGCGATTATTCAATTCATTCAACATTTAAGATTAACAAAACTTCAGTCCTTTGTGCCAAATGAAAAATGTTCTTCAAAGTACAACTCCTCTGAGTAAACTCCTTGGTTATGTGTTGAGGATGAAAGCTATTGTTTTAAATTTAAAGAATGGGTTACAAAAGGAAATTATTAAATGGTAAATTCAATCAAGTAGCTGTCAGCATGATAAGGCATAAGACACAGGAACAGAAGTAGGTCATTTGGCCTGTGAGTCTGTTCCACAATTCAATAAAATTATGGCTGATTTGATAATTCTCAACTCCACTTTCCTGCCTTTTTTCTATAGCCCTTGATTCCCTTACTGATTAAAAATTTGTCTACCTCAGCTTTGAATATGCTAATGACCTAGCCTTGACAGTCTTCTGCAGTAAGCATTCTACAGATTCACTACCCTTTGAGAGAAAATGCCTCCTCATCTCTTCGACATACAACCCCTTATTCTGAGATGGTACCCTTTGGTCCTAGGCTTTGCCACAAGGAAAAATAACCTTTCCACATCTGCCCTGTCAAGTTTCCTAAGAATCTTGCACATTTCAATGAGGTCACCTCTCATTCTCCCAAACTCTGATGAATACAGGCCCAACCTACACGACCTGTTCTTACAAGAAAATCCTGCCTTTGCTGCAATCAACCAAGTGAACCTTCTTTGCAGTGCTTTCTGCTAAATCTTTCCTTAGGCAAGGAGACCAAAACTGTTCACAGTATTCCAGCTATAGCCCGTCCAGTGCTTTGTACAGTTTTAGCAAGAGATCCCTATTTTCATACTCCATTCCCTTTGAAATGAAGGTCAACATTCAATTTGCCTTCCCTATTATCTGCTGAACTGCTAGTTTCTTGTGACATGTGCACAAGAACCTCCAAATCCCTCTATTCTGTAGTTTCCTGCAGTCTTTCTCCATTTTAACAATATCCAGTAATTCTTCAGTTTTAATAGCATTACAGGAAACTGGAATCACAAGTTAACAGCTGTCCACACGCACACATTCACCGAAGTACAACTAATAAACACACACAAACAAGACACGCATGCACACACTCAGAGATGCACACACAGGTAGGAAGGTCTCCCATTTGATACACTGCTCTATGTGGAATTAGCTGTAAAAGTGTAATTGCTGCTATCATTCTTGGATAATGAGACAATCACCCAGATCTTCAATCCCATTTGCCAAACCTCTTTCAACGCCAGCAGCCTCTCTCTAATTTCTTTGTCCAGGCCCCTCCTGATTTTGAACACCTCAATCAAATTTCCTTTCAAACTTGTCTAAAGAGAACTGTCCCAGTTTCTCCAATCTATCCACTAAAGTCCCCTATTCCTGGAAGATTTTCATCAACCTTTTCTGTACCCTCTCCGCTCTCTTTCACATCCGTCCTTAAGTGAGGTGCCAAAAATCAAATTCAATACTCCAGTTGAACTTTCATAGAGTTTCATAATGATGTCCTCACCTTTGTTGTCTGTGCCCCTATTTACATCGTTTCTACTTTCTGAATCTGCCCTGCCACCTTGGTTTGTGCACAGATATCTCTAGGTCTCTCTCTGCTCCTTCGCTCTATTTGAAATTATACCTGTACAAAAATAAAGTACTACAGATACCAGAGATCTGAATGAGAAAAGAACAGGAAGTGCTGGAGAAACTCAGCAGGCCTGGCAGCCTCTGTGGCGAGAGAAACAGAGTTAACATTTTGAGTCTGATATGACTCTTCAGAATTCTTCAATTGTCTTGTGCTTTTTTCCCCCATTTTCACTTCTTAAATGTGTCCCTTCCCATTTATTTGTATTGCATTTCATCTGCCACATTTGCCCATTCTCTGAACCTGTCTCTGTCCTCTTGAAGTCTTTCACTTTTCTTCCAGATAGTTCTCAATACTTTAAGCTTTGTGTCATAGAATCATAAGATCATGCAATACAGAAAAAGCCCTTCAACCCATCAAATCTGTACTGCCAAAAATATAGTACTTCCTACGGTAGTCTTGAATGTAATGGCATTCCAAGTGCTCATCCAAGTATTTTTGAAGGTTGTGAGGTTTCGTGCCACAACTACCCTCCCAGGCAGTGCATTTCAGACACCCGTCAGCCTCTGGGTGAAAAAAAGTTCTTCTTCAAGCTCCCTCCAAATCTCTTGCCTTTACTTTAAAAATTTGCCTAAACTTTTGCCCCCTGTTATTGACCCTTCAACTAAGGAGAACAGCTGCTTTCTATTGACCCAGTCCATGCCCCTCATAATCTTATACACATCTATTGGGTCTACCCTCAACCTTCTCCATGCCAAAAAAAACAACAATCCGAGCTTATACAGCCTCTCTTCATCGCTGAAATGCTCCTTCTCATGCAACAACCTGGTGAATGTCCTCTGCATCCCCTCCAGAGCAATCACAAAGTCATCTGCAGGGTTTTGAAATTATGACTCTGGTTAACAGTGAAATCACTTCAAATGATAAAAAAGAATGAGAGTTAGAAAGCAGTGGAGCCTTAATAGGTAGAATTAAAAGGATTTTAGATTTGGTAAGGAATGTCTGCATGGACCCCCTTTTCGCATGTACAAAGTGCTAAATTGTATAAATGCACAAATGAGCAAGAGATAATAAAAACATTGTGGGATTAATGGGCCATTTTATATTTTAATTTGAATTGGATAAGAAGGATAGAATATCTCCAGAAAGTA